TTGAGGATTTTTGCCCCTATTCTGGGGTCACACACTTCAAAAGAGGCTTCATGGAACCTTCTTTGAAGAGCTCTCCTTGCCTTATCTCAAAGTTTATAGCCCGTCTTTTCAGCATGGCCGCCTCCTGAGGTGAATCTGGGAAAGTGCCGTCTGTTAGGTATGCCCAGATGCTATCCATCTAGGTGGAGCTTCAGTTAAGTACTCCAATGGGGTCTTCATCAGATACACTTCTCTTTTCCAGGACTTCCCAGAAGACTAACCGAGGCGTTTCACAGGGGCGGATTAGGCCAGTTTGGACAGAGCATCCGCCTGATTATTTTTTAATTTGGGCACTTGGCTTAAATTGAAGTCTTTAAGTGTCCCAGCTTCAGCCTTGACCGCCTGAAAGTATTTAATCATAACCGGATGGGTAGCCTCATAGACACCATTGTATTGGCTTACGACCAATTGAGAGTCAGAGAAGGTGTCAATTCTTGTTTCCCCTGCCGCCTTGCACATTTGAATGCCGGATAACAGGGCTTCATACTCGGCCTCATTATGTGAGGCCTGAAACTTAAACCGTAGTGCATATTCATATTTGTCCCCCTCAGGAGACTAACAAATTATTCTTGCACCACAGCCGTTCATCGTGGAGCTTCCGTCCACATACACTTTCCAAACCTGATTGATATGATTTGGCTTAGCCGGCTTTGTCATTTCAACAATAAAGTCGACGAATGCTTGCCCCTTTATTGCCTTCCTTGTTCGAAAGTGATTTCTAGTCCCTGTAACTCAATATCCCATTTGAGCATTTGACCAGAAGACTCCGGGGTTGTCATTGGCCGCTTGATCGGTTGGTTAGTGTAGACCGCAACTGGATGTGCCAAGAAGTATGGTTTCAACTTCTTGACAGCCATGAAAAGGGCGAGACCAAGATTTTCAACCATGGGGTATCGAAGCTCTGCGTTTCTAAGAAAGTGGCTAATGAAGTAGACCGGGAGCTGGATGCCGTCTCTTTTAGCTAAGAGTACAACACTGAGGGCGTGATCTGAAACTGCCAGGTACATATAGAGCACCTCTTTGGGCAAGGGACTGATGCGTTTTCATCTTTTGGAAGGTGGCTTCTGCATCATCCCCCCATTCAAATTTAATCTTCATCCTGATCGCCTGAAAGAAATAGAGGACTTGTCGCCTGACCGACTGAGAAATCTTCCCAGAGCTGCTAGAAAACCGGTTAATTTTTGAACTTCCTTCATAGAATGGGGCGACTGCATGTCGATTACCGCCTGTATTTTTTCAGGGTCGGCCTCTACCCCCCTTTGGTCAATCAAGAATCCAAGAAACTTCCCAGACTCAACACCAAAGACACACTTTTTTGGATTAAGCATGACCTTGTGCCGCCTGAGTATGGCGAATGTTTCTCGGAGGTCAGATAGGTGATCCGCCTGCTGTTTGGATTTGATTATCATATCATCAATGTATGCCTTTACATTCCTCCCAATTTTATTAATGAAGACTATATTAATCATTCGTTGGAAAGTAGCAGGCGCATTTTTCAAACCAAACGGCATTACATTGTAACAGAATAACCCTGATCAGTGATGAATGACGTCTTTTCTTGATCCTTTTTCTACAGGGGAATCTGATGAAAGCCTGAGTAGGCGTCCATAAAGCTCATCAGGGCATGTCCGGCTGTAGAGTCGACCAGACTGTCGATCTTTGGAAGTGGATAACTATCCTTCGGACATGCTCTGTTCAAGTCAGTGTAATCTACACACATGCGCCAGGTGCCATTTGATGTGTCCAATTTATATAGTATTTTACTCCCGTCCCTTGGTCATAATTAGTAGTGTTTTTGGCTCTTTAGAGCCACTTTTATTACTAATTGGTGTTTTCTAGTGTTTTTGTAGTGCTGCTTGAGTTTTGTAGGAAATTGCACCATTGGAGCATTTTCCGGGTTTTTCATGGAGCAACTGCGGACATTAGGATAACACGACCATCTTTGGAGCCAAGGACCGGCTAGAGCCGGTGATTAAGGGCTCGGTGTGTGATACCGGGGAATTTGGATCAAGTATTCAAGACTCGAAGAGGAAATCCGGATTGGGCCGAAGAATTAAGCCCAATCAAAGTCCAAGCCTCGAGGAAGAAACACGGGCCCGATCGGGCAAGCTTACGCCCAATCGGGCGGGAGCGCAGTCAGCATCAAGCAAGGTGCGCCCGATCGGGTGAGCATTAGCTCGACCGGGCACAGCTGCCCAGAAGAAGTGTGAAGAAAAGGGCGGGCCTGATCGGGTGGCCCTTCGCCTAATCGGGCGCGTGTTTTTGAGGAACCTGATTTGCCGAGTTATTAGTTTAGAATTAGGATTGTTTTTAGTAGGGTTTAAGTACGATTTGAGATTTAATTTATGTTTACCTTCTCTTTTAGACTTTCTCTCTCTACTTATATTATTTTCTCTCTCTAGAATTCTCTCAACTTTGTTCTTGCTTAACTCCGTAATTCAGATTATTTTTGGTAACGATTTATTCTACTTTAATCTCAGTTATTTACTTTAATTCTTTCATCATGTTTTATTTTATTGCTTTGATTAGTTTAGATTTAATTATGTGTGAGTAGTTTCCTTCCTAGGGTTTGTGGGGATCCATAAATAATATGAAGGGGTAATTTATTGTTGTTGATTATCAATGCTAGATTAATTTCCTATTGATTGATTTAATGCTCTGTGATTATATTAGGCATGATCTTTTATGCATGAGTTTGACAATATTGATTCAAGATTCGAGAGATGAGAATTGATGTTTGGGTCTAGTTTCAATGGGCAGGTTAATTTATAAATGGTTAAGTCGAGATTCGAGAGATGAGATTTAATACCAGTAGATTAATTATGTGATTGTAATACATAGCGAAAGCCCTTTATGATCTGATTAATTGATGCATTGATGTTTGATTATTATGCTTTACCCTGGAATGTTATTTATTGGTGAACCTATACCCTAGGTCTTTTATTCATTGATTTCCTCTATTCTTATTTTTCCCTACTTTTACTCTTATAGTTTAGTTATCTTTCGATTACAATAATTTGGTTACTTAATATTTAGATTATAATAACTAATTAGGAATAGAAAGACCATTTTCCCTGTGGATTCGACCCTACTTCCCTATCTGCATTAGTTAGTGGTTTTAGGAATTACTTTTGATTAGGTGATACGAATTTAGCCTATCATCATTCGACTTCTTTACAAGCACAACATTTGCAACCCATTAAGGGAAGCTACATGGCCAAATGAACCCAGCATCTAACAACTTTTTAACTTCGGCGGCTGCCGTCTGACTTCTTTCCTCGCCATGGTTTCTTTTCTTTTGTCGAATGGGCTTCTTTTTGAGATCCACAATGAGTTTGTGGACAGCAAGATCCGGGCTAATGCCTGACATCTCTTCCACTTCAAAGGCAAAAATATCTTTGAATTCTTTCAACAGTTGGTGCAAACTTATGCCCAACTAAGCAAAAGAAGCCTTCCCCACCTTAATAGTGCGCTCTGGACGGTTGTCGTCCAGAGCATTATCTATGTGTTCACCAGGCGGCTGGGGACGGAGGTTATCTGACCGTTCCCCGGTCAGTGATTGCTATTGCTTTTATTTTTTGACCACCACCAGTGGATTAGGCTTTTGTTTCTTAACGGCTGGTGGGGTCGGATGGTCATCCTTGACCTCATCAAGGTCAATTGGCTCTTTGCCCTGACGTGCTGCAGCCGCCGCAAGCTTGACGTCCGAGAGATAGCATTCTCGAGCCGTCTTTTGGTCCCCGTTCGGGGATCCAACAGTCCCATCACCCCTCTTATACTTGACAAGCATAAGAGCTGGAATGATGACTGCCTTGTGTATAGGATAGCTCCCGATGAATTATCGCCTAGCCCTCAAGGTGCGCACTCACTGCCGAGAAAGCAATTAAAGGAGGGCTCACTAGCTCGGTAGAGTTAGCCCGTAGGGATGAACAAGGTGAACTCTCCACGAAGGAGATGGTACGCCTATAAATAGAGGGTAAAGTACAACGGAAAAGGGGGTAAGACAATCAAGTCATTATACTTTCTACATCTTTCTAAGTACACTTTCTCTCTCTAAACACTCTCTAACTTAAGCTTCGGAGGGGGGGTTCCTCGAGCCACCCCCGAGGGCAGCTTACGTGTGTTGCCTTTAGTAGGTAGTTGACGGGACCCAGTTCACCCAGCAGAACCCTTGGATCCGCACCTGGAACAATTGGCGCTAGAAGGAGGGGTAGGATCATCTAACCTGAGGTATACCAATTGAGCTAGGGACTAGTTAACTAACCACCATGGCCGGAGAAGAAAATGTACAGACACCCATGTCTAAAAATAATGAGACCAGCCAAACACCACAAAAAACACCCCAAGTAACCATCGATCCAAAAGGATCCATCGGAAACCCTAAATCAACCATCTCGCAGAAATCCAACCCCATCGGATCGACATCAGCTGCTGCTAAAGCGGCGTCGAAACTAGTAGACCCGGTGGGATCCAGCTCCATTTTCAAATACGGAATGCCGTTAACAGGCGCGAACAACGAACTCATTGTTTAAGCACCTGCGGCCTAGAAACAGCAACCCGTAATTATGCCAGCCATTCTGCAGAACCTTTCTAAGTGCAGTAAGGAGCAGCTGGCTATAATGACTACGGTCCTCACCAATATGGGTAAGGGGGCAAGTCCGTCACCGACAGCGGCAGCTGCAGAGCCCGTAGCGAAAAAGCTGACGTCCTCGACCCTCACCCCTGAGCAGAAAGAGCTCATTTAGCTGAGGAAGAAGGTATTGGAGCTGGAAGCTCGTAACCTGAATCGAGAATGGAGCGTGAAGGAAATAACCCCTGCTCGAGTCAGCCCGGAGAAGCGAGTCCCACGCAGCAAGTCACCGACCTCAGAGCGAGGACCCAGCCCGGAGAAAGACAAACGAGCGCGAATCCAAGTTGTTCTAGATGATTCCCCATTTTGCCGGGAGATTCTGGAGGAACCAATGGAGAAAGTAAAGATGCCAAGCTGCAAATACAGCGGAACCACAACACCCAAAAGCCACATATCAGCTTTTGAGAACCATATGGAACTTTACACTATGACAGACTCAGTCTGGTGTAAATCTTTCCCGCCGACCCTGGAGGGGTTGGCAGCAGAGTGGTATGGAGCCATTCCCAAATGTTCCGTATACTCGTACAACCAGTTGAAGAGAATGTTCATGGAGTATTTCATAACCCTGGTAGACCAAACCAAGATGACAACCGAGCTGATGTCGTTGGTTCAAGGGAAAGACGAGCCCCTGAGGGAGTTCATCACCAGATTCAACAAGGAGGCAACAACCATCCCAAATATGAGCCAGGAGGTAGCGCTACTAGCAATGCAGAGTGGCTTACTACCAGGATCACCGCTTAGAGCGTATATGGGGCGTAAGAGCCTGAAAACACTTGCTGAAGCGCTGGGCAAAGCGCACGAGTTCATCAAGGCAGACGAGACCGACAGAGCAATGCTGGGTAGGAAAGCACCTGGTGACTCAGTTAAGCGGACAGAGGTCACCCGGGCAGAGAACACACCCAGGGGGGACCAGCCGAGCAGGGATGAGCAAAATCGCAGAGAAGCTAACAGAGCAGTAGGACTGAGAAGGTCAGACCCAAAGAGAGGGCTAAGGCCTGGGAGGTTTGACCAATATACCCCATTAACCCATTCCAGATCTCATATATTCAGCGTGAACAAAGCTGATGGCAAGTGGCAAAGACCCCCGAGGATGGTTAACAGAAATTGTGATACCAGTAAGTGGTGTGACTTCCATAGAGACCATGGTCACACCACTGAAGAATGCACGCATTTGAAAGACAACATAGAAGACTTGGTCTGGAGAGGGTATTTGAATCAGTTTAAGCAGCGCGATGACCCTCCCAGAAGGAGGGATGAAGATAGAGCAGGCCGCCCTGACCGCAGAGGAGGTCAGAGGGCCCATTCGGAGACAGAGACGTAGATGGTAAGCCAGAAGGCAGGGTGTATGTGATCAGCGGGGGGCCAGTACATGGGGGGACATTCAACAGAGCGCGAGATGACCTAGGGCGATGATTCATCAAATAAATGACAATGATAAGCGTAGATGGCCACCTCTTCCCCCGCAGCCGCAGGCCACATTTGACGAGTATGACCAGAAGGGCATAATTTACGCCCATGACGACCCGCTTGTGGTGACAATGAGAATCGCAAACTGGGAGGTGGATAGAATACTGATAGACGGAGGTAGCTCAGCTAACATCATACACATCAGTGCGTTCAACGAGCTGAAGTTAAACAGAAAAGACTTGAAGAGGGTGAGCTATGAAGTCACTGGGTTTAATGGGTCAGGGCTTACCCCAGAAGGTATAATCGAACTCTCAGTCCGAGTAGAGGAAACATCAAGAAGGCGTGATGTCCGGGCAAAGTTCCTCGTGATAAACTCCCCTTTACCCTATAATGTGATCATGGGAAGACCACTCATCCACAAGATAGGCGAGGTAGTATCCACCTATCACCTTGCCATGGCCTACACAACTAATGAGGGTCGGTCAGTAAAGCTCAGGGGAAGTCAAAAGATAGCCCAGCAATGTTACATAACCGCCCTAAAGCATCCCGCAAAAACCAGACAGCAGCCTGGTTCAGAGAGAAGGTCCACTGAACAACCTGAGAGGAAGTCGAGGAAAAGGAAGCGTGAAGAATATCACAGGGAAATAAATAAACAGAAGTTAGCAATGGAAAACTTTGAGCTCGTAAAAGAGGAAATGGCCAGGCCACATCCTAGTGGGGAGCACGTTACAGTCGAGCTCACCGAAGGCGACCCCTCACGGACGGTCAAAATCGGGAAAGACATTGATCCAGGAGTAGGGGTACACCTCATAGAGCTATTGAGGAAGAACAAAGACGTTTTCGCATTTTCCGCAGATGAGATGCCCGGAATTGACCCAGCAGTCATGGTACACAGGCTAAATGTGAAGGAGGATATTAAGCCAGTTAGGCAGAAAAAACGAAGCTTCTCCACGGACAAAAACCAAGCAATCCAGGAGGAGGTGGAGAAGCTCCTGGAAGCAGAATTCATTGAACCTTGTGACTACCCAGAGTGGTTAGCCAACGTGGTCATGGTAAAGAAAGCAAATGGCCAGTGGAGAATATGTGTTGATTTCACAGATCTTAATAAGGCCTGCCCAAAGGACTGTTACCCGCTGCCGCGGATAGATCAGCTGGTAGACTCAACTAGCGGGCACGCCTTGCTAAGCTTCATGGACGCCTTTTCAGGGTACCATCAGATCAGCCTGCATAAGCCAGACAGGCAGAAAACCGCATTCATCACTGAAGGGGGAGTGTATAGTTACATAGCTATGCCCTTCAGGCTGAAGAATGATGGGGCAACTTTTCAAAAGGCAATGGATAGAGTATTCCTTCACCAAAAGGGTAGAAATGTTGAAGTATACGTTGACGACTCAATTGTTAAGAGCGTCACGCAGGCTGGACATATCATGGATCTGGAGGAAACATTTGCCACCCTGAACAAGTGTAAAATTAAACTCAACCCGAAGAAATGTGTCTTCGGAGTGAGCTCGAGAAAGTTCTTGGGTTTTCTGATCAGCGAGAGAGGGATAGATGCCAATCCAGAAAAGGTCAAAGCAGTCCTTAGCCTGCCTCAGCCTAAGTGCATCAAGGATATCATGCGGTTGACAGGCAGAATGGCCGCGCTGACCAGGTTCATCAGCAAGTCAGCGGATAAAGCCCTGCCATTCTATCAACTATTGAAAGGGAACAGAGAATTTAAGTGGGGGGCTAAAGAGAAAGAAGCCTTTGAGGGCATTAAGGAGCATCTGACTAAGCTCCCAACAATGATCAGCCCGGAGCTGAGGGAAAAGCTGCAGCTGTACATCTCTGCGTCAATACAGACAATCGCAGCCGTTTTGCTGGTAGAAAGACAAAAGCAACAAAGGCCAATATACTTCGTGAGCCACGTGCTGACCGAGGCAGAGCAAAGATACCCATTGGTAGAGAAGCTAGCCTTCGCAGTGGTCACAACAGCAAGGAAGCTAAAGCCATATTTTAACGCGCATGTAACAGAAGTCCTCACAAATCACTCGCTAGAGAAAGCATTACAAAAAATGGATGCATCAGGCAGACTCTTAAAATGGGCAATTGAGCTTTCTGAGTACGAATTCGAGGTTAAACCTAGAGCAGCCATCAAGGCACAAGCTTTAGCAGACTTCATAGTGGAAGCTTCCTACGAGGAGAAAGAAGATGATGTTGGGGTTTAGAAGGTGGAAGTGGATGGGTCCTCGGCCCAAACGGGGAGTGAAGCAGGAGTCATAATGACATCTCTAGAAGGAAACGTATTCGAGTATGCCATAAAGTTCAAGTTCAAAGCATCGAATAACGAAGCTGAGTACAAAGCGGCACTGGCAGGCCTGCGTATGAGTCTCGCAGTTGGAGCCCGCAAAGTACACCTGCAAACTAATTCTCAGCTCGTTGCCAGCCAACTGTAGGGGGCGTATGACATAAGGGAAGCCACCATGCTGAAGTACGTAACCAAGGTAAAGGAACTGGCTGCCCAGCTAGTCCACTTCTAGATAGACTTGGTCCCCAGAGCAGGAAACTCTCAGGCCGACGCCTTATCCAAGTTAGCCAGCTCTACTTTACAAAGCCTAACAAGGACAGTGATGGTTGAAGTACTAGAAGAAAGCAGCATTGCCGAAAAAGAGCAGGTAAACTATTGAAAGGCAGAGAGCCTGGTTCTTAGACATCTTGGCGTACAAAGTCCACGGCTCACTGCACAACGATGAAGTACAAGCTAAGAAGGTGAAGAAAGACGCCAACTGGTATGTAGTGATGAACTGGGAACTCAACAAAAAGGGCTTCTCAAAGCCACTGGTGAGGTGTATTCTAGAGTGGGAGCAGGAGAGCATTATGGAAGAAGCTAACTCCGGAATATGCGCCATCCACATTGGTGGAAAAGCATTGGGAGTAGAGGTCCTCAGAAGGGGGGCATATTGGCCACTCTCCCACAAGACGCACTAGCATATGTGAAAAAATGCGAAAAGTGTCAAAAGTATTCACCAGTCATAAATCAGCCAACAAACGATCTAACTCCAATCCTCAGCCCGATCCCGTTTGCTCAGTGGGGAATGGACATATTGGGATCTTTCACCATTGCGTCAGCGGGCAGGAAGTATCTCATTGAGGCGATAGATTACTTTACGAAGTGGATAGAAGCCGAAACCACAAAGTACATAAAGGCAGCCCAGGTTAGGACATTCATATGGAAAAGCATCATCACAAGATTCGGGGTGCCACAGTGTATAGTATTTGATCACGGGTGTCAATTTGACTGTGACACCATAAAGGACTACTTGGGGGACATGGGCAAAAAGTATGCAAGTGCCTCAGTCTGCCACCCGCAAAGCAATGGTCAAGCAGAAGAAGCAAACAAGCTGATCCTGACAGCCCTGTAGAGGTCTTGTGGGAAAACAGGACCACTAAGAAGGATTCAACTGGTAAGAGCCCCTTCACCATGGCCTACGGGGCTGAAGTAGTTGTCCTAGTGGAAGTACAAATCCCAACCTGAGGATACAACACTATGAGCAGCAAGGAAATGAAAAGCGTATGCTGGAAGAGCTAGACTTCCTGCCAAAAGTAAGGCTGAAAGCAGCTCTCAAGTTGGCAGCTCAGAAGAGCAGGATTTCAAAAGCTTTCAACAAGAGGGTCAAGCATAGGGAGCTCCTGCCTGGAGACTTGGTCCTTAGAAGGACAACAACAGTGGGAAGAGGAAATCAGCATGGAAAGCTATCAGCAAACTGGGAAGGCCCTTTCATCATTCACGAGCTAGTTAGACCAGGAGCGTTCCTCCTTGCAGATCAAGAAGGTCAGGTCTTAAGAAATAGTTTCAATGCGGATGCGTTAAAGAATTATTTTGTTTAAGCAGTCTGAAAAAACAAACATAGTTGTTTCAAGTCTGATAAACTTTTATTCAGCCCATGTTATGCTAATTAAGGCATTTGAGCCATTTTTATTAAATGAAATACAAGCCTCTACGTGAGGAGTATGCTGCGTAAATTTGTTTAATATGTTATGCTCAAGCATCATATGCTAACATGCAGAAGTCAAATAAAGACAATAACAAAGTGTTAGAGGCAAGAAGCACTCTAGCGCAAAGTGGCAAAGCAAATGCATCCCTCCCTAAAACTTCACCTCACCTGCTCACAACAAAGCAGGGCACCACCTCGGGGACGCCTGAGGGGGAAGCCTTACATGTTTAGCTTGAGCAGGAGAGAAAAGGGGAAAAGAAGAAGATGAGTTATGTGGGCAACACTAAGTCTCTCTTAGTCCCACATAGCTCATCTCTTTGAAGGGGAGAGGAAAGGAGAAGACAACCAGACAATAAGCTCTTACTAAAAGAGGTAAGTAGACACAAAAAGACAAAGTCGCAGCATAAACAAGCCGAACGACATAAATAAGTCACAACAAAACAAGCTGAATGACAACTCACAAAATGACAAAGTCGCGGCATAAACAAGATGAACGACATAAATAAGTCACATCAAAACAAGCTGAATGACAACTTACAAAATGACAAGTCGAAGCATATGTAAGCTGATCGACACAAATAAGTCTCAGCAGGGAGGCCCAACCTACAAGGCCCCACCAAATGCAATAAAAATGCTACAGCACTAACAGATCTGGATACTGCTAAGAAAAGCATAGTTCCAGGCAAATGTGCAAACAACAAAAAAAGCAGCAGGCGAAGCAGCAGAAGAAGATCATAAAAAGCATACATTATAAAGCTGAACCCTGCCCCCCAGGGCAGAGTAAACATTCAGCAAGACAGTCGCGGGACAAATGAGGCCGAGCCCTCGTCCACCATAACAAGGAAACACTCAGCAGGTAAAGTTAGGACAACGCAAATTCAAGTTAAGCTAGGCAGACCCAGCAACAAAAGACTAAGTATTCAGGAATTACACAGAGAAA